GCCATAGGGATTTGGTTATACGCTTTAACCAAGTCGATTTTCGAAAAGACAGTTGTACCTTTCAAGGTAGCTGTCAAATCGTGAATGTGAGGCAACGGGTAATGATCGCGAATGGTTTTCGCGTTCAATCGCCGATAGTCACCAGTTGGACGCCAATCGTTGCTGTCCTTTTTAGGGACCATGTGCAATGGAGATGCATATGGGCTACTTGACGGTCGTATGATTCCTAAGTCCATCATGTGATCGAATTCGTTTTTCGCTAACCTTAGCTTTTCGGGAGCTAGTCGTCGTGCTTTAGAGAATACAGGTGGTCCTGTAGTCGTGATGTGATGTGTAACATTGCTGGTTACACACGGTAGTTTCGGTTGAGTTTGTTGTACCCCAGGGTACTTATCGAGTAGTGGTTGATAGAGTGGGTCTATCATATGTTTAACTGTGACTGGGGATACTCTGCAACCAGTAAAAGAAGTTACGCAAACGGACAAATTAGTGTTTCCGTCTACTAGCCTCCGTTTGCGCGTGTCGATGATCAGATTGTGATGTTGTAGAAGGTCCATACCAATGATTGGCATAGAAACATCTGCAACAACGAAAATCCAGTGGATGGGTTTGCGTAAACCCACGTTAAGGTAAACGTACCTTTTGCCATACGTAGCGATCGGTTTTCCGTTTGCCGCCTGTAAGTTTAAAGCCGATTCTTGAAGCCGATCGTTGGGGTTCGCTGGGAGAACGCTAACTTCTGCGCCAGTATCGACGATGTAGTGAACTCTCGTTGTCACATCTGTGACGGCTATGTTCGCCGGCTACGGTTGCCGTTAGCGCGTGCCGGCTTGGAAGTTTCCCGAATTGCTTTTCGAATCAGTCGGTTTCGTGTTGGGAAAATTGCAGGGTGTTCCGCAATTTCTGGAAAGCTTTCCATACTGGTTATGATACCAGCACCAGTCGGGGTTATCTGTCTCTCGTGGTCTAGAGACAGATCGCTTACGAGAAATGCTTCTACGTGATGTGCGCGATCTCTTACGGTCGGTACGAAGACTAAGAAAACGCGTGAGTGTGTGACATAAGTCGGTTATATCATTCTGAGTCGTGTGAGGCTTTTCTTTGACTGAAAATACCTCGGTAGTAGATTTCGTAATTTCTAAATTGCGGTCGGCAGATACAGCTAGCTCGTCCAAGGCGTTGTTCTGGAACGAGACCAGAACTGCTTGCACCTGTTGGGGAAGTTTTGACAAGAAGAGTTGTTTGAATAGACCTTCGTCGAAAGTTCTTGGGCCTATTACCTCTCTCATCCGTTGCAACATGTCCGTCGCAGAACCGTGTTGCAGGTCGATGTTATTGAAGAGTTGATCTAACCTTTGTCGATCGGTTAGGTCTCCTCGTTTAAGAATCGAGCGTTTTAAGATTTCGTAAGGATCGGAAACATCACTAGTAAACATACTAGGTGTTACGTACCTGTTGAATTCGCGCGGTAGTGCCTTGACTACTGCGAGGAATTGTGCACGTGTGTCGATCACGCCGTGCTCGGAGAAGTCGGCTTCTGTGTAGCAAAACCAGGCTTCGATGTTGTCGGGCCAGAAAGGCATCAGTTGAAACGAAGGTGGGGACAAGGTCTTAAGCTTGAGTACTTTAGGTGTCTGTTCAGTCATGATGAAATATGAAGTACGATAATGAGCGAGGGGAAAAAATATATATATCCAAGAAAAAATACGAAAAAAATCACAATGTTTAAAAAAAAATAAAAAAATAAGGCAATGATATATAAAAATCCCCAAAAGGAACAGACTCACAGTTGCAATAAGGTGTACCAGATCACGTCGGTTTCACCAATGATGTATGTCACAGGTATTCAGTGTTTGACAACGCTTCTACCAGTAACACCTTCTAATATATTTCGTTCCCGCCCAGAGAAATCAAAAGACAGAGTCGAGGAGATCGGAAGAGTATATTTGGCGATGACCAATATATCGGAATTCTCTGATCTAATCTGGCTAGCGATTGCGGTTGATGTTGAGCACAGCGTTACCACACGTGATCTGGTGCGGATGCATGACCGAGCGCCTTCAGCTAGATGAGTCCACTTAAACATATGGTCAGCATCCAATGTCGAAAACTGAGGGCTATTTATTTTGGGGATTTATTTACCGCTACAAGTGTGATTAGCAAATCCACCAGCTGTCACTGGAAGAAGTTGCCTTATATTTGCCGGCGTGCTACTTACATCCTCCTCAAATGATATGGATGCGATAACAATATCTTTGTTTTCAGGTTTGTGGTTGCTTATTAATCGCGAAGAATAAATCTTACGAAGAAAAAAATCCATAAATGATTACAACACTGATTAGAATTAATGCGTCCAACTGAACTACTACCCATTAAATATTATCAACTATTTGGAATCGTATGAAGGCAACGGGAAGGGAGTACAAAGAAACCAATTGGTTTGTTCAAGTTCGTGACAAAGATACTGTTTATTGAATTGACCTTAAGGATTTAACACAATTTCAATTTTTGGCCTTGAGGATGACGTTATACTCAATTATTCTGCCCACCTACAATGAAAAGGAAAATCTCCCCATTATTACATGGATCATTGATGAGGTTATGAATAAGAGGTGAGTAGTTCGTTACTAAAACTGAACTTATCGGACTTGCAAGTCACTATACCGCGTGATAAGTTGTGAAATTAATCTTCGTAACTGAGAATATAAAGGTTCACACCAGTGGAGTTTTAATTCACTCATTTCACACGGTTTATGTTCTTTGGTATTTATTCTTTCTCAAAGATCTTTGGATATGTGGCGTGAGAACGCTCTTGGTCTCATATTATTTATTTTTCGATGTACAGTGTTACGTTTAGTCTTATATTCACTTCTATAATAATAAGTATGATTTGAATAATACCCTGATTGCACTGGTGGGAGTACTATTTTGCAACGGTAGTTTTATCCACAGCCTTGAAATGTAAAGCTGTTGACACGCCTTGGATTAAGAACTCCCGGCTCACATCTACTAAATAGTATCTGGTGTCTGTGAACTGTATGTATCACTCTTCAGGTTTTAAAATAGCTGATTGATGCTATTCCAACAAAACTTATCGGAATTGAATATTGTATCTAAGCTATGTTGAGTACCTCACTAATCGTTACTAACCCTTCTGAATGTTATATCCCGAATAAAATATTGAATGCTAACTTTTGGAGTCCATTTATGAACCAATAATATGCTTACATCTTATCGTATAATTGTTAAATGACTAAACTATTCATATTCATGTTCGTCTTATTATGAGCTTCATTTTGACCTGTGAAATATTATTATGCGACTTACCATTCTTGAGTTATGGTCTGTCTATCAATTACTGTCTCCCTTATTCACAGCCAAATTTGGCTAGAGTTTGTACAAATGTTGTTTTCTATTTTATGGAACGATGTGATCTGTTTGGTTGGTATGTAAACCCAGTATGTTTGAAGCACATGATATAAATGAAATACATTGATAACATTTGTTATTCCAATCCTTTACATTCACTTATGTCAGTTGTTCCATACTATTTCTTATCTCAATGTAAAATTCTAATACATATTTGGTTGTAAGCAGCTGACGAGAAACCACAAAATATAGTGAATTCATATTATTCTGCATCAATATTTGTTCTGGCTTTATTTAAATTGAAATACGTGATTCATTTCTCAGAGGCTGAAATTGGTGTTCTGGGCTTAACTGGCTGGGCTAGGCAGGAAGCAGGACCGATAAGTACTCTAGACTGCTCTCACGGGTTTTATGCGTCCTTGGTCTGATTGATAATTTATTGTTCTCTAATTGGTGGTATCATTATGTTATACATTAACAGGGCACGCAGGCCACAAGTTGTACACTAGATTAGTGTTCACCTTCGTTTTTTCAGGTTTCATTAGATAATCACCTTTTGTTTAAACAAGGGTCAAGTGCCTACTAAAGACCCGACAGTTTTCGGTAGCCTAGTGACATCCCTACTCCTGTTGCGTACTGTGATCATTCAGATAATTCAAGTAAAAAAGCCAGTTCATTCCAAGGTACTTTACATTTTTGCATGGGAAAAAATTTAGATGTATGCTAAAACCGACCGTATCACACAACAGAGGAAAGTTCATTATAGAACTATAGCGTGATTCTCAGGAACAAATTTTTTTTCCTGAGTCTACATTCAGGTTAATTTTTATGTCTTTGTTGTCCAACGGTTATAGACACTGATACCTGGGCTGTTGACAAAACCGTTCTTAAGCGAATGTAGATCACACTGACAGGGTGCTCAGTATCTTTGGTGGCGAACTAATTCTCTCAAACCACTTTCAAAATCTTATGGCGTAACTATTCCCAGTGGTGTGCTTAGAATACCATTTGTAGCATCTCCAATTGTTTAAAAATCTTGATCGAGTCAATGCAGGTTAAAATTCCGACGATAGTTTTTCAATATGATTTTCTAATTAGCGGCTGCAAACGCATTCTGTGGGAACCTCTTTTCCATGTTTAGTGTAATGTGCATCATCATATGTAAGTGACTGCTAGACGTAAGTGCCAGAATCATAAAATTGATTAAGACTTCATAATAAATTTATTGCAACTAAGTAACTCCTTCACAACGGTTCGGAAGAAACATCGACACTTAAGATGATGAAATGAACTTATTCATTTAAATAAACCCTTTAGAGTTTGGTTTTTTATGGATTTTATCTTAGCAGATAATATGCTCTTAGTTAACCTTACTCTGATACTTATTCTGGAAAATCATCCAAAAGTAAGTAAAGGCACTATATAAGTCTTTGTAAAACAACAGTATCATTAACTTTCCCTTTAGAGTGGCCTCAACCCAATTACCTGGTGAATGGGTTAACTTATTGTATTTACTCCCTTCTATATTCAAATGCCTATTTGACAAAAAATTTTCCAGCTAGCGAAAGTGTAAGTTAATTCGGTGCATTGATGTCTTAGGTCTAAAAGTGAAAATTCTACTAACAGTTTTCACTTTCATGACCAACTTGGATCCGTATCATCTCAATCACCCTGAAATAAGTTCAATATTAGAGAAAAATAAAGTTAGAGAAGTTTTTATAAAGATGCCGAGGCTGTTAAATTGCAGTAGTTAATATACAGAATCATTCTCTTGATGTTAAGTTACGAATGAGTGAAAATCAGTTTCAAAGCATTATTTTTCATCCGACAGCTGAAAACAGTCATATCCGGCAGTTTCTTGACATTTAAAATTCTCATAATTTGTGGTGATTCAGAAACTCCGAACAGGCAGTGTTTAAATCAAGACTGAATTCATATGTTTTGTAAACGTAAATATAACTAAAGAATATGGTCATTGCGGAGAAACATCTCTATTGATAGTCATATTGAATGAGTTACAAGCTTTTATTTGGCTGCATGAGTCTACTCAGGGAGCATTAAGCAATTTCATATAACTTGACTACGATGTCTCACATATCGTTCTTGATCATTGTCCTGATCCACGTAGTTTGATTACAAACTCTACGGTATGGTATAAAGTCGATTACCTCATTTGATCTTGAACGTCGTGTTGTTGTGTACACGTTTGTTTCATGCTCGTCTTTGTGTATGAACCGGTGTGTTGCTTTTCTATTTCGTTTTTCTGGCATCATTGCTCGTGGCAAATTAGTTTTAAAGAACACTTTAATGTTATATTTTGTCCGTATACGTTGAAACCCAGGACAACTTTCTCGGGATGTGTTGTGGCCGACTGTTTATTGCCAGTGGATAATGATTTCCAGAATTATATGAAATTTGTATTATTAACGTAAATATACTGATACTTTATTTAAATATGTATCTACAGTGGCTTTCCCTACGAACTAATAATCGTTGACGACAACAGTCCAGATGGGACAGGTGAAGTTGCTAAAAAGTTACAATCTATTTTTGGAGGAAATAAAATAGTGAGTAGAACTTAATCGCTGTAACGTTGTTCAGATTCTTAAACCAAGAAGTGGAAAATTAGGACTAGGTAGGTTGATTCACTTTAACTGATATTCAGCAAACCTTTAATATAGGTTCAGCTTACTTGCATGGTTTAAAGTTTGCAAAAGGTGATTTTGTTATCATTATGGACGCGGATTTATCACACCACGTAGGTTTAAACTAGACTTATATCTTGCTAATTTATTATACCTATCCGCCGGTCGTAATGTAGTCACGTGATGTATGTGCTTCTGTTATTGAACCGAATCATAAAAATATCTTCCTATGAACCCACTTCGTTATTTGAATCTATGTGGTTAGTAGTGATCTTGTTGAGCTATAAATTTACGCTTCTCATAGCGTTATTGAAAATTCCTAAGCTCCGTCGACTTTCCGGGTTATAAAAATACATTTGGTCTGTTAATTCGACCATAAAACTCTTGTTTGTAAATAAATAGCTGAATTGACTTATCTTTTTGCATCTCAGTTAGATAGTCAGGGTTTTAGTTCCCTAGTTAGAATTTTGCGTTTTTGAGAATACTGCTACAGAAGATGCGTAATGTCTATATCTGAAACATCTAAGAAAGGAAACTAATGGTTTCACTCTAGAAAGAGCAGTGTGGTTGTTTGAACTGCGATGTCACAATGGTATCCATATATATAGCTTTATCATTTTCAACTTTCCATTAAGCTTATTCCCTATTGATTTTTGTCTTTTAACCTTTTTCTATGATTTCAGCCAAAATTTATTCCTGAGTTCATTAAGTATGTATCTTTCAAGTTAACTACATTAAATAAAATAAAGATTACAAAAGCAACATGATTACGATATTGTTACTGGGACACGATATGCATCTAACGGAGGTGTAAGTGGCTGGGATTTGAAGCGTAAACTTATCAGGTTAGTTTTTATGTGCCGATTAAAAATGGATATAGTAACACCAAATAATTCCTTCTATTGATTGCTTTACAATTTTCCATTATTTATGAACTTCATTGATCACTTTATGTTGTTTCAAAGATCATTCGCACATGTGATATAACCAGAATGCTCCAAATTATCCGACCAGTTAGTGTCATCTACGTAGAAATGAATAAACAGGTGTGCATCACACACTTACTATTCATTATTTTTGTTAATAAGTGAGTAATATTTTGCGAATTTCGTCATTCTTAAGTGATAATATCTTGAAGTCTGCAAATATTTGATAAAGTTTAAAAATGATTATACAACTGGATGCCAACTCATATGCATCAAATGAAATTAAAGTTAGTGTAAGTAATACTGATGAGCCAGCTTTTTCCATGCGCACCTTGTGATGTTTCTTGATAGCCTTTACGATTATGTGTTTTGCGTATAGTTATTGTGATGTTTTATGCTCAAGTAACTGGTTATATTGTAAAGTATGCTGCTTATGCTGACAGATATAAGTAGTATGTAGCACCAATCAGAAGCAGAATGCCTGCCAGCAGAAGATTGAATTGGAGAGATCAGAAATGGAAGTAGAGAGCAATTATAATAACAACAGAATCGGAAGAATCACGAAGCACGTACAGGACAACTGAAGAAAGATGCAAACGATGTATTTAATGTATGGCTTTCGTGTTTTACAATGACACTGTAATTTTGCAATGGTTTTCTCTACCTGAGTTTCCTTTCACTACTATATGGGCAATTGTATTCTTTGATTCTTAAATTAGCCTGCACTCATACTTAGAAGAATAATCTGTAAATGCTAGAACAGATAATAAATCTGCTTGTTCCAATAACTATCGACTTTCTTTAATCTGAACAGAAATGAGTTCGAATTTTTCGCAAGGGATAAAATTATCAAGCTATCGCCTCTTAGGTTTGTGTAAAGTATCTTAACATTTTTTTACCGTATTCAAAGTTATACAAAATCATAAGTCGAAAAATACTATTGACATTGTTAATAATACATAATTACAGTTGATAATTACGTTTGTGCTTTAGGACACTAATATAAACGATGTTCCGTCCAACAAGTACTATATTTTTCCATCTAATTCACAGAATATATGGATAGTTTGGATTACTTTAGTAAAATAGGTCATTTTTCCGTGTAATCTATCATCAAATTAGCCTATTGCAAACTAAAGTTCATTTTTGAAAGATATTTGCTTTCGTGTTATTTATATGAGACACAAAAAGTTATTCGATTAGTGAATCATGTATGAAAAAAGTCTCTGAATATGCAGTATTTCTTCAGCATGAATACTATGCTAAATAGTGAGTTGGATTTTGGTGAAGTTTTGTTCTCTGAAGTGGATGAATTGCAAAGAGAAAGGCTTCTATTAAAGAAAAACTTCGTCTCCTCCCAGAATGTCTTCGTCAGTAAAACCCTCAGCAAATGTAAGATGCAGACTACTAATCAGCTATCCAATGTTATGTAGAAAAGATGAGAAAAGTAAAAGGAGAATGGTCTACCTGATGACTACGATCAAGCCATTCAGCTCAGAAAACTAAAACTTCAAAACATCCACCTGAGCCACAAAAATTCGCCTTCTCAAGATAAATTCCATTATTTAATGTTTAATGGTTAGTGATGCTGTATTTTCAGAAATTTTTAATCTCATGTTCTCTCAATCCTTATAATCCTACGTAGTTCACAACACAGTTGAACCTTTTGATAATATCATAGCTTTCACTTAGTTTAAAATCAGTCTCGTACTGTATAGTCAGTACAGCCAATGAAGTTTCAATCAAAATAACAGTGAAAGTGTGTTATTCACTGGAATCGTCTTTATTAATCTGTTAAATATATTCCGTGTTTATGATAAGTTTAAAAATCAGAGTTAGGTCAATTGTAATTTATTTCTCAGATAATATGGGATAAGATTGAGGCGTAAATAGGTTTTTTTTATACAAAAGACTCTTCTATGCCTACTGAATTATTCCGTCAAATTGTACAATCATTTAAGGTCAAATTACATGTCTTAGTAATTGGATCATTACTTTCGGTAATGGGTTGTTCTTAGAACTGGAACGTTGTTCCAAGTAGCGTTTGTAACACATCGAGTAAGCTTTTCAGACCCATGGTTTTTTTTTGTTCACTATATGTTCCACACGTATTGGTAACTCAAGTTTCATTCATAAACACTAATTCACATTTCAAAAGTTAGTTGAAATTTCAAGTGCTTCCGAAAAATTTAACTGCAGTATAATTGTTTTTCGCATGAAAGTATATTTTAACCATTGATTGAATAACTAATTACAAATGAATATGTTATCAGAGCAAACTGCAGGTCTTATATTTTATATGTTTTTAAAACAAAATAGTGATTTTTTGTAAAAGCTACGATCAATTTATTTGTTCACCTATTTGTTTTTTTTCCAGCCGTACGGCAAACTACATAGCTCAAGTATTACTACGACCGAAAGCATCCGATTTAACTGGAAGTTTTAGGTAAATTAGCGTACATATTCTTCATTCCTAATCATTCACCGTATATACTTGAAACGATTATATGAATAGCTGCATAATCATATTAATTAGATAATTATTTGTTTACCAAAACATATGAATGATTGTTTTCATTTTAATCTCGTTCGTTTATAAATTCAGGGTAATGGGTTTGTATATAGGGCATGATTTATGATGATAGTTAGTAAATATTATTATCGAAGATTTTCTGCGTTCTTTCTGTTAGGGTCTAATAGTGCAGAGTGTAAATATGAAATCAAAGTCTCTCAAGAAATTGTTTACTGTCTTTGGAAAAATAAAGACCATAAAATCCAGGTGTAGCAATGAACTGACAATCTAAAAATTCTTACACACTGCTATTTGCAGCATAAATGTCATCTGTTACTCGCTGTTCTTTCCCTATTAATAATATTCATTTAATTCCAATCATACTGCTCTGGATAAATGTTAGATGTTTTCCACAGCTCTTTTGACGTTATTCGTGCGAAAAAGAACGAAGCACGCATGGCTAAATTGTTGTCCAATACATCACGTCTGGTCGTAAGTTATCACCTCAGAACATCCCCTCAATCTATTTCGCCATTTAAGTTTAATAAGTTTGTCATTAGTTTTAAAATAGCAAAAACTGTATCTCAATCCTTCGAAGGGTAAGCACGATCAAAAATGTATACAAGTAGTGCGATCAACTTGCAAAATTAGTTAATTAAAGCAAATCTGAAACTAGAAACTAGTTATGTATACACAGTTGAAGAAGTAGGTGTCTTTATTACTGATTTTGGCAACTGACTATTTGTTGCAATGAAAGGTAAGTCACTCAGTTGATTAAACACTTAGTAGTAACCAATATCATAATTGTCTAATTCTTTTTTGCCGACCGCATGATGTTGACCAAGTTGCACTGTGACCACTAGTGTATAAGCGACTCAATAATAAACCCTCGACTTAGGTTTCATGTTATTATGTACTTTTCAGTAAGGCAAACGTGTAAGTTTGAGAATACTAGTGCTCTCTGGTGGTTTCAAAACTATCTCATAAATATAGACAGATGTAGTAGGTTTAGTGCTTTTTGTGTAAATATTATCTCGAATGATTCTTTAGAATATCCAACCAAACGTATTGAATACATATAAATTCATTTATTTCACTGTTTGCTTTTTAGACTATACAAAAAAGCAGTTTTACAAGATTTAGTTTCGCGTTGTACTTCACGTGGTTATGTTTTTCAAATGGAAATGATAGTATTAGCCTCTTCACTTGGTTACAAAATTGGTGAGGTATGTCTACTTGTACACATTAGTTTGAATTTTATTTTAAAAATAATTTTCTTTCAATTCTAGGTTGGAATTACATTTGTAGATCGATTTTATGGAGAGTCAAAACTTGGTGGAACAGAAATTATTCAGTATATAATGGGATTATTACATCTTTTCTGTACTTGTTAATTTTCCTTTTTTTGAAAAAAAAAGTAATTATAATTCTACTGTATGTACTCGGTTTAGATAATAAGAATTTTTCCGATGCCTCATTGCAAATCTATGCTTAATACTTTACTGAAAATTCATATTCATTCACAATGAATATTACAGAATAATGGCGTAGTTATCTTAAAATGCAATTTTCAAGTTACATCAATATAATATTTCCTCCTGAAGTTAGCTCCCATTATGAACTTAACTGAAAAATCATCAGAGACCAAGGAGCACTAGACAATTGTTTTAGTAATTGTGATTAGTAGTTTTTAATAATTCCTTCGCTGTATTCAGTTTGAGATGAAATTTTCACAAACCCTGTATGTTAATAATAATTGTGGTTAGTTCCGAGATAGATTCCCAGTGATCTATGTAGTTTAACTTTGTTGAGAGTGAAACAGATATCACGAATGATGTTGGACAGTTGTCCTGCAATACTATAAACTGACCTAGGTTGTAAATATGGACTATGGAGCCGTGAAGTAGTAAAATAAAAGTATAATACTTGCTGTGAGACCGAAAGACTTGGGTCCAATCTCGAGTGTTTGCATCGCTGAGAAGTCAATAAACGGGCTCTCCAATGGTTACTGATTTGCAATGGCCCTCCAACTGTTGTAGTTTTGTAACAGAAGGAAACTTCAGATTTGACAAAAATATAATAACTAGATTTAGGGTGACAGTTAAGTATCCCAATTAGTATATTAACTTGTGTTAAACGTTTTCTATTAACTTTCATACAAAACTCTAAGCTCGACTCGTAGAATGAGACATCACGTACACTACTTTTGTATAAACTACTTTGGCCATTTTTTAGACTGAAGCTTTTGGAAGAATATCAGAGTCCATTAATCTGGAATACTACAAAATATTTATAGAATAGTATAAGTTTTAAAGTCGGACTTTGATATTAGTGTGAATAAAGGTTGTTCGTTTTTTTATTTATTCTTTCCAACTTGAGATCACCTGAAAGCAGTATATTTCAAACTAAAATCTTATCTGAACAAGTTTATAAAAGCTCAGGTAATTCCTATATTTCATCTGTGATATGATACGTTCGTAACGATAAAGCACTTCGTGCTACTATAAACATTCTTACGTGTGTTTCAGGAAATATTTTCTTGAAGTGTTTTGAAAATAAATCAGAAATCAGTTTTTAAAAATATCCAAGTCAGTACATGGCGTTACTTCATGAACTCATTAACTGCTGATATGAGTCGTTTATGGAGCTTCAGATTATCTGTTTGAAGCCCATAAGATAACCTTACTATTTGAAGACTACATGACTTGGTTTAAGAAAAGTTGGTGCATGTGCACTTGTTCTTTGCTAAATCTTAAATCTGTGTTTGATTCACTAAACTGTTTAATTTGCTTTTTTGGGCATTATTTCTTATCCTCAGCTTCTAATTACTATAAGTATTATTATCTTTACGGCTTTAGTTTTCATCTTTCTGATCCCCCGACATATAAATGTAAAAAGAATGCAAATTCAGTCAAAATACTGTGCTGTTTTGAATTATATTTACCTACATTTTTATCAATACGTATAGCAGTATTAATTAAATTACAGTTTTAAGTTTTCATAAAACTGTTGAAACAATCTTTCAAAATTAGGCGAAATATTTAAGAAATTTTTAAATTCAACCAAAATATAATCATATATGCATGTTCATGTTTAACTACATTAAATAACCAGATATTGTATATTTATATAAAGATGAATTATTGGCAGACCTTTTTCATTTAACACAAAATAGTGACTACTTATCAATGGTATTTTCGTTCTACATGAACTATTTAAGATTTTCTGAACCAATGTATTAGTATATAAAAATATTGAAATAATGTGATTTTCTATTGGTATCATTTCTTCTGATCAATTAATTGCAGTATACTTTATTATATTCTCGATGGATTTAGGTTTTAAATGCCTTATCTTTAGTAGAAATTTCTACCTTTGGTGATTTACATGGGGATTCATAAGACTGAACTGAATGTATTTGTGCTTGAGTTCGTAAATGTGTTAACTTCTGGCATATTTCCGATGTGTTTTTTCGATTCTCTTTTGGTTTATTATTTACTAATAGTTCTTTAGTCATTCTAAGACCGTTTCTATATAATTTTATAAACTCGTTTTTACCCAATATGAGTCGTTGGTTCACCAAATTAATCAAAGGATCTGCGTAAGTTTCTTCTACTTTAAGTTTACTTAAATTTTCATGAATTTGAGCTTCTTCTCTGGTAACAACTATAGTATTCCATGGTGACCATGGTTCATTAATATCCCATCGAGCCAGTGTCAAATCAAATAGATTTGTCCAACCTGATAAAACCGAGCGACTTTCCCAAATTTGGTCGATTAAAAATCGTATGTCTTCTTTATCGATTAAGAAAGGCAGTGGATTTACACATACAGTCTCTTCATGTGTCCCGTCAATAATGGCATCTGTTTCCGGTCTTGGAGACTCACCTCGCTCTAACCTCTGTAATTCTTCCTCTCGTGCGTTTTCTATTGCCACTCTTTTCATCTTTTCTACAAGTCTAGTCTCATTTTGTCTTAGTTCTGTCAGAATATATTGATATGGTTCAAGATCTAATCTCTCACGTCCCCGATTATCACTTCTTCTACATGATTTACATTGGGATAGTTTGTTCGCTCGTGAGCTGAGTGGGAATAAATTCTTCTTTAAGTATCTTTGACAAGAGATACAGTATTGGATGTCATCTACTAACAAGGGTACAGTTGTTTCTTTTACGTTTGTTGGTACTGTAAGGTACTTACCTACTTCCGGATTAACTTGTGGTGATTTTGCAAACTGTACGAATCTGTTGCGAATCCTTTGTCTCAGTCCGGATAAAATTTTACCTGGAATATCACGCATAATTAGTTCTGCTTCTCTGTCAACCAATCCCATTATCTCCTTAGAAATCTTTGTATTGCATGAGCTCACTGTTTGTTTCAGTGTCAGAAGTATATCTAACCTTTCATTATGTGTTAGATTTTCTAAACCTAAACTTTCATAAATATCCAGCAATTCCTTTGCACGAATCGTTTCAGCTGTGGCTACTTCAGTTATTCTTCCATTGACTGAGGATATCCAACGATGAGGAGCTGAAGCCTTTTTCAGACAATGAGATTGATTGTTTTCAGCAACTTCCTTGCTTCTATTTATTTGATGTTTATTTATAACTGATATCAGTTCTGCCTCTTCATCCAAAAGCAACGCTAGAGCTGCTTTCTTTTCTGCTTCCGTTAAGTTTTTTTCTTCTATTTTACCTACTTCTTCTCTACGCCACAATTCTAAAGCGTTATATAATCGATCAAAATCAGTCACAGTTTTAGGATGAAGCCTTCGCTCAAAATCATGTGCGATTCTTCTAGCAACCTCATTTTTGTATTTTTCAGATTGTGATTTTTCCCAAGCAATGTAATCATCCCTTATTTTTTTAAGACGCGCTACTTTTCTTTTTGCAAGCCATCGGCGTAAATACTTTTGAATGATTATAATCTACAAAAGTAAGTTAAAAAAGATGTCTTATTCTTTTAAGATAAATTCTTATATTTCGAAAATGTTTATGAATAAATAGAACACCTTATAGCCGCAGTTGTATAGCAAAATAAGCTTCAAATTGTTTCTCATTATTATTTCGGAAATCAAAATGCATTACACTTGAATATACTTCCAAATTATTTAGAATACGACTAGTAAAAGTTTGACCGCTGTGTACATAGTTACTCCGAATTTTATCGGTTATTCGTTTGCTAGTGGAGTATTTTGTTAGCGTACGGTCGTTTCATATCCTTAATCGTGTATTCCAGTTACGTGAATATCGTTTTTTATTCTGATATCTGTTTGCTCATGTCATATAAGTACACTTAATGAGCAACTATTCCGTTTGTTAGTCGTGTATATTGATAGGTTAACAATCGTCTCATTGTTTTACCAGTAAATAGTTGTGAATATTTCTAAAAATGTAACGAACGAAGAATAAGGTTGGGGCATGTAATTTAAAAGTAGGTTTTCTATTGTTAAGTATGTTAATAATTTCCAACATTTCTACTGACCAAACCACCATAAATAAGATGCCTAAAGTTTTGTATCTCAATATTGATTTCCATCCAACAGTTCGATTTTGTACTGGAAAATCTGTCAATAATGACAGTGTTTAGCAATTAGTCGACACTGAATATCAGCGACTGCATCTCCCTGTAATCAAGTGATTAGGAGACCACATATTTCTGGCATAAAACCAAGCTCTGCAGAATGTCGTTTAAGACCCAACCATAACAGTGGCACCATTTCTGATTCCTGTACTGAAAAACGTTGGTCTAGATTAGGTTCTAACCTCTATAATATTGCGAATATGTTTTCACAACAAAATTCAACATCCACTCCGATAATCTGTGTTGGTTTATTTATGAATATTTCATGACATTTACTTATGTAAGTTCAGGTTTTAAATTCCGTGAACTCAAGTACACTAATTCCTTCAAATCTGGATTACTGTCATAATAATTCTTGATTATAAGATAGTCACAACTGCCTTCTGTGACAAATATCCGAGGACTTTTGACTAGCTGATTGTCATTACTTATATCCGTCAGAAGGCTTTAGTTGTACGTATACATATACCACGCTAGTTTTGTCTGTATATGATTACCCCCTCAAGAAATCCTAGTTATTTTTAGTTAGTCTATTTATTACATATATCCTTCGATTCAGTACACAAGTGAAACATTGCACTAACAGTAACTACGTCCAAACGAAGTTATTTATTTGTTAAGGAAGTATCGATCGAGTAACGGTAAAACTAGAGTCTATTACCAAGTTTTGATGAAAAGATACAAATGCAGAGAATTGAATATGCGGCTTGTAAATTGTTTAAAAATCTGACTGTTAACTTTCTGAAATAATAACCCGAAATTCTACCTATTTAGTTGTTTCAGTCTATAGATTTCAAAAAGAATTGTTTAGCAGATACCTATAGGTTAATTGAGGTATACAATACACCTTTGCTCAATTATTAGGATTCTTAAATATGTTTGAAAGTAAAACGAATTCTACTACGGGTTACTTTAATAAATGGAAATCTGGAGTTGAGGTTTTATTCGAATCGCCGACTAGTAATTAGGTATACCTTCACCAATATTAGTGTCCAAACCTGATGCTACATTGT